TTATAAATTGAGAGTATATAAAATAAAAAACTTTAAAAGCAGACAAAAATAAAGGGTTTTGGCTTGTATTCGAGAGATTAGACATTGAAAATTTTGCGGGAAATTGTTCTCTCAAGATTTTTCATACATTTAACATTGGCACCCTTTTTTCAGTCAAAAAGTATGAAAAAATAACAAGGGTTTAATAAAATTTTCAATGGTGGCATTTTAAACAATATGTAACCAAATTATGAAAATAAAAGTAGGGGTTAGTGGACAAACATTTTTAATGACACTACATGGATAAAACTAGAGGATTCCAAATACCTGGCAAAAATTCAAAAACAAGAGGAGCAAACATCATTTATATAAGAAGTGGGCTATAGACCAATGAGACAGCAACCCAAACGACACAAAACAAATAAAGTTATCAATACAAAAAAGGACGCCCTTCTATTTACCAATACCATTTACATTTACTTTACCTAAACACAAGAGTATATCACACGGCCTTGAAAATCGATCATTCTGATGCCTTTAATATTTTCTTACTTTTTGTATAGCGCAATCTACTGACACTCAGGTAAACAAAGAAAACACAGTAAAAATACACAACTGTGTGTAGCTAAATAATTCAAAATATTGTAATTAGTTATGATCTTATTTATAATTACATTTTCCTCGTCCAAATTGACCTATTTTGAAATACTCTTATTAAAAAAAGAGGTAAATGATATCAAAGGGACATTCAAACTCATAAGTTGAAAAAAACGCCACGGATACAATTGAAAAAAAAAAGACAAAGAGACAAACACCAGTACACAAGACAATATAGAAAAACCAAAGAATGAGAAAACGAACCCACACAAACCAATGGCGATGATCTCATGTGCTCCGGAAGGGCAGGCAGATCCTACTCAACATGTGACACCCTTCATGTCGCTCGTGTTAGTGCAAACTAATTCGGGAGGTCGTATTCGGAGGAAGGAGACAATATTGTAGTTACGACAATTGGAACATTTCCGTCGTCATCAGTGCATCACACATTCCATAGCGGTCAGCCATATCGTGGTGGTGTCCGTAAAATTTAAGAAGGTATGATTTCAACTTCACCACTTGGAACTCTTGGTTTGATAGCTACCTTGTGAGCAGCAACCCTCTATAAAGACAATCATGATAGGAAACACTAGCCCTGGAATGTCGTAACAGCTGGAAGATATATACTCCTACGCAGGCGCTGCTAACATGTTGCTACATAGAAATGTAAAATTCACAATTGGGAAGCTGAAATCATTTCTTTTGTTTCCAATTAATAGATAAAATTGAGAGTGAATTGGGGAATGTGTCAAAGAGACAACAACTCGACCATAGAGCAGACAACAGCCGAAGGCAACCAATGGGTCTTCAATGCAGCGAGAAACTCCCGCACCCGGAGGCGTCCTTCAGCTGGCCTCTAAACAAATATGTATACTAGTTCAGTGATAATGAACGTCATACTATACTCCAAATTATACACAAAAAACTAAAATTAAAAACGATACAAGACTAACAAAGGCCAGAGGCTCCTGACTTGAGACAGGCGCAAAAATGCAGCGGGTTTAAACATGTTTTTTGAGATCTCAACCCTCCTCTATACCTCTAGTCTATGTAGAAAAAACAAACGTACAACAGTACGCACAGTAAAACTCAGTTTAAGAGAAGTCCGAGTCCGATGTCAGAATAGGAAACAAAAGAAAATAAACAAAATGACAATAATACATAAATGAACAAAGGACTACTAGCAGTTACTGACATGCCAGCTCCAAACCTCAATTAAACAGATTGAAAGATTATGTCTTCATCATATGAAAATCAAGTACAATCCCTTCCGTTAGGGGTTTAGTATCATACCATCATAAAATATATGAGAAGAACATAACCCGTATCATGCCAACAACTGGTTTGAGAATAAATGTGTTTAATTCCGATGCAAAGACCCTATAAGTGAATCAATATTAAAGCCAAAATATGCAATCTTTAATGACCTGACATTAGTGTCGCATCTATATCCCTTCTTAATAAGTCTGTTTAAAGATTTGTTAGCTTTTGAGATGAATACTGACATTTTTGGGCTTTGTAAAGAATATTACCATAAAAGATTGGATGAGAAATACCCGAACGTATAAGATGTTTGCATGTTGAGTTATATCTACGAATGATGTCCTTATACCGATGATAAAATTTAGTAAATGTTTTGACTAGTTTATGATATCGAAAACCCTGGTGTAATAATTTTTCAGTAATACATAGATTTCTTTATCTAAAATCTAATACGTTGTTACATACACGAGCGAATCGTACAAGTTGAGATATATAAACACCATCAGATGGTGACAAGTGAACGTCACCATCTAAAAATGGATAATTAACGATAGGAAATGAAAAATTATCTCTTTTATCATAAATTTTTGTTTGAAGCTTCCCGTTAATGATATAGATATCAAGATCGAGGAAAGGACAGTGGTCATTGTTAGTATTATCTTTATTTAAAGTAAGTTAAACAGGATAAATTTCTTTAGTATACATACTGAAGTCGTCATTATTGAGAGCCAATATATCATTCAAATATCTAAAAGTGTTGTTAAATTTTTGTATCAGATGTTGTTTCGATGGGTCTTTGCTGATTTTAGTCGTAAATTGTAACTCATAACAATACAAAAACAGGTCCGCAATAAGTAGTGCACAGTTAGTCCCCATTGGAATTCCGATAACTTGACGATATACAGAATCTCCAAAGCGAACAAAAATGTTATTAAGTAAAAATTCAAGGGCAGATATAGTATCAAAGCATGTCCAATTGACATAGCTCTTTTGTTAGTTGCTTCTAAAAAATGACTTAAAAGAGTTTGAACATATGTATTCGCATTCCGACTTTTTAAATGCCCATTTAATTAGGTGTGTGAATTTTTTCTTAATAAGAATATGAGGCAAAGTGGTATATAGGGTAGAAAAAAACAAAACTTTGAACAGATTCAAAATCACCAAGCCAGTATTTAGTTGGGACTTTCATTGTATTTGGTTCTGCTTGTAAAGAAGTATCTTATAGTTTATATTTGTTACAGATATCGTTTTCTGAAAATGAAGTCAGTTGGAATGTTGGTGAATTCGTGATTTCCATTATTTACCTCATTAGAAAGTATTATTAATCGATCAAGTACATCCGTCTGCTGTTCACAATATGATATGTACATAATAACTCCGTCAGATATCAGTATTTCTTGAGATTAGGTTCTGGATAAACTTACATTTGAATATTACAGTATGCACTAAATTAACGTACATTTTACATTCTTACGTTGTAATCTCAATGGAAAAATCATGACAGTAGGATGAAAGCTAAAATGAAATATATTATGAAAAACGTAATACTTATTATGCATTTTGTCAGTACAGAATAATGAGTGTGAAGATTTATGTTGTTTACTCTGTTATTATTAACTTGTAGAGTACATTGCTTTGTTTTCTTAGTTATGTAGTTTTGTCATAATCATATAATGCATATTGTATTTATAATTTTTCAATGTATAGTATTAAAATATATCCAACTTATATTCGTTTTCAACATAAATATTTCATATAGAACTATATACTGGCAGCTATGATAAAGGTAATGGGAAATTCATTCATGTTTAAAGAAAATAACAATATGCTTATTATGCGTATTAGTATCAACGTGGGTTTTTTTAATTAAAGAATTGATTTATAAAACTTTTGTCCGATAGTGTATTATTTCACTTCTTAAAACAGTCCCTGAAATGAAAGATTCGTTTTCCCACCATATAAAACTTTTTTTGTAGGTTTTAGATCTCTTCCAACTCACCTTGTTATCGATTTCAGTAAGAACATAACGTGCTTCTGGTGTAAACGTGGCATGATACGTTCGAGAACAAAGCTATAAACTATGAAAACAAACGTGACAAGCCAGCACCCTTGTGCATCATGTCAGAACTAAAAATTTGATTTTTTTCCAATATGCCACAGTAAGGCACTTATCTTTATTTATAGGGGAGAAGCATACAAAAGAGATACAATCACTGATTTGCAAGAATGTTTTGACAATTTTTTTAACACATTACTGCATAAATTTAGAAAGAGTACAAAAGTAAGAAGATATAAAGGAACTAAACAAGAACATTTTGCTTTCGAAAAAAATAGCAATTTCTGCTTGATGACTGGTATCCGTTATGTTTAAGCCCAAATTCTCTGTTGAGTATAAAAGATGGATTACAGACAATATTATGGATATGACTAAAAGAACAGAGTCGTGGCCATCTTAAGTGCCAGTCTGCCTAAGGATCAGGCAATATTGTATTTTATTGAAACACACAATATCACAAAACTTCAACTCCTATACATTTTTAGAAACCTTACATGACATAAAGATTAAAAAATGAAACATTAGTAATATTTTATCATTGTAGTTAATTTCCTGGTACCTTTAAGTTAAGGCTTGTTCCTTATAGTCCTATGCAAATTTTGACTTTTGAAAATTAATTTGAGTATAACATCATGATTCATAAAACATATTAGCACTTGTAATTCTGTCCTCAATCTTCTTTCAGTGGGTGTTTTTGTTTATCTGATCATATTGACAGCTAAAAAAAATTCCCTATTTTAGCAAGTTTGAAAAGAGTTATCTCCCTTTTAGGAACTCTTTGTATCACTAATCATAACAAATGGACGTCACAGTGACATAACATGACTAGCAGAAGTTGCAATTTTTCGATATTTTGTAACACAGAGTGTGGTTTATCCTCTTACTACAAAGAAGAATCAACTGATACATCTATTGCACATTGTTGTAAAAATATTGACAATCATTTGGCTTCAGTTGGGCTGAAGTCAGATGAGATTCCTTCAGAGGGTCATTTGATATGCTTCAGGGTAGGAATTTTCTCTGCCTTGAAGTCATATTCTGTATGTCCCCGGTATCGATATGCCTTAGGAATTTGTTGGCGGAAAAAGGCAGGTTGCACACATCCTAACCACTCGGGGAAGGCAAAACCAGAGAGAGCAGTGTCGGTGGATATGAGTCGAGCCATTTCCATGTATAATGGAAAATTGGTGCCTGTTGGATCAGGTAATGAACAACAAATTTGTTAATAGCACTATTCTTCATATATATAAATACTTTTTTCAATATTAAGAGGGTCATGCATCAATTTAAAAAAAAAAGGGAAAAAAATGGGGGGGGTATATATTTCACTTGTCACAAAAAACAATAAAATGCCAAACTAAAGAAAAGCAAAAGAAAATGATCTTAATGAGAATTTTTGCCTTTACATTTTGTGATAAACTATATTAAAGATGAAAAAACAACATGCCATGTGTAAGGTATTATTCAAAATCAAAACCACACTCATCTCAAGTTTACTGGCAATTCCTAAACTTGAACCTATTACATGTACATGTTTTATAAAACTCTGGAAAGTGTTTTTCACAATGGTATGGTTTCTTACATGGCACCCTATATCTACCATTGGCTGATCTAGAAATTTCATAAGTTGGGGCCCACTGACTGCCTAAGAGGGGGCCGCTCCAGTCATGCTTCAGTGATTCTCTATATAAACAACCAAAAACAGTACTAGTGTTCGTACATCCATGACAACTACAAGTATAAAACTATTATTTTTTTATGTGGATATATATAGATATATAAAGAAGATGTGGTATGAGTACCAATGAGACAACTCTCCATCCAAGTCATAATTTGTAAAAGTAAACCATTATAATGTAGGTCAAAGTACGGTCTTCAACACGGAACCTTGGCTCACACCGAACAGCAAGCTATAAAGGGCCCCAAAAAAATTACTAGTGCATGTAAAACCATTCAAACGGGAAAACCAACAGTCTAATCTATATAAAAAACAAGAAACATTTATGAACCACATCAACAAACGACCACAACCACTGAACATCAGGTTCCTGACTTAGGACAGGTGAAAATATGTACATATTTTAGGTCGTAACATTGCAAGTGTTCATTTTATGTTTCTATTCATCTAACTTATGGATTTAAAAAGTTAGAATAAGGGGTAATAGCACAATATTTTGTTTGAAAGAATATTGCATCAAAATATTACATGTACAAATGTATACCAGTGTGAGATTTTACAAAACAAAACACAAAAGATATTTAATTGTAACCAGTCTGATAATAACAGCCATCATATACATGTAGCCAATACCCAATTTTGACTTGTATAAGTAAATTATCCTGTAACCCCACTTCCATGTTGAGCAGGCTGTATAGTAAATGTTTTTTTTTTGGCGTGCAAGTTCATTTTGGTGTCATCTTTGGGGTCCACCTTCCAGTTATGTCGTTTTTTGTTTTTTTTTGAAAATCAGATACAACTACATGTACTTGGATTTACAAATGTAAACAACTACAGCTTCAAACATGTCTAGTGCCAATGTAAACACAATATTTGTTCATTGTGTGAAATATAAAATGTATTTGTACTCGCTCATACTGAACAGGAGAAAGCTTGGGAAGTCTCACATTTTGTCCTATTTCGAAAGCTTGTTTAAGTCTATTTTATATTTTCTAACAATATACATACAACTGTAAATCGACTTAATATGAATAGCTCACTGTAAGGCCTTCAACAATGATCACACGTTAGAATTTAGATTACTTCAATGTGCACCTACTATAGTTATAGAATGATTTTTGTTAAATGGAACACTTAACATTTATGATAATGATTATCATGATAATAGGTTATTTATTTTGTAGGCTCACATGTACATTCATAAATTTCCTACAGCCTCATTTGATATATTTAACTTGTGATAAAGTTTTTCTTTTCTTATGCAGGAATTTGCCGTAAATGTAGATCTGTTGTCTATGAACAAATTTCCAACTTAAATTTAGAAGATATTCCTTGTGATGCTTCAGAGCCTGAGGTTTGTAACACTGTTTTCTTTTTATACGAAAATAAGAATGATTGTCAATATTAAAAATGCAAAATTAACGACCAGAACATGTTCATTTATTATGATTATTAACCCTTTTTTGTAGAAGAGGGACAAGGTGATCCAGATTTTTAATGTGCTATAGAAATGTGGTATGATTGCCAATGAGACACTCATTCACAAGAGACAAAATGATACAGAAAGTTCACAAGGTAACACTCCACATTTGCTGAGGCATGATTAGCAGAGAAGAAGCAAATACATTTGTACCAATCTCCAAGGCCTTCATTTGACCCATTTTTTGGCAAAAACTAAAAACAAAATTAGAGAGAAAATAAAAACCGAAAAAATTATATTCTAATCTTCAAGGTCGAATATATACATTGATTGATATGAGCTTCACAGGCTCTAGTTATTTAGGTTTTTATTTTGCTTACAAAAACTCATATTTACTCCCTCTAACATGTCTAAGAAAACCATTTAGTTTATGATTTGATTTTTCAACAGTGTATATCTGAAAACGGAGAAAAAAACAATGGATTGTCACAAGTTTCAAACAGCACAGCTTGCGCAAGTAATAACTGCAGGGTAAGTGTTTTTTTCCATAGGATTAAGTATAAAGATTTCATGAATAGGGAATTATGATCCAAGAATATGCGGTTTTAAAAAATTAGTATCTACACAAAATGTCGTGCTGTAAAATTCACAGCTACCATACATTGCAATGATATTTAGTTTTATTATATGACTATAAATTTTCTGTTTTCTCATTGGATAAAAGCATAGGAAATCCTTTTTGATAAAACGTTATATTCACCGCAGCAAAAATAACGTGAGGTTAATAAAAGATTTGGAACAGCGTCCGTGTACCCAAATATAGTGAATACTGGTGAAACACAGAAAACTAAACTGTTGTTACTATAATGCAAAAAGCTTCCTATTGTGACTCATAGATTTTATTTGACAGTATCAATACACAGAAAACCTGATACATGTAATTGGTGTTCTGACATATAAAACCTGCCCAGAATAGTTGCCACACAATGCAAGGTCACTTATAATTCTAATATTAGGAAAACATTGCTACCAACACAAACATGAGGGTAGAAATGCCCTTTACTATCAGGCTTCAAATGGTAATTTTCAGCTACCGTTAGCTTCAAATTAGTTAAAATGTTACTGTGATTCGTCAAAATATCCCTATCGTGATTCATCAGAGGTCTCAAATATTTATCGTTACCATTGTTTTTGTGGAAAAAAGCTAACGTTATTCGTCAAAATCAGTCTATTTTTTTATCGTCTTAAAGAAAGTGTACATTTTATCGTCTTGCACCAAAAATTACCATTAATGGACGTCATTTGCCAAGATTTGTTACTGTTATTTGTAATGAAGGTACCCCCATCACGACCCTCAAACATACATGTAGCTTTATTATATGATTAATGACATTGTATACATGATGTAACTAAAAAAAAAAGTACACAATCAATTCAGTTTTTTTTCACATAAATACACAAAGAAAATTTGCAGTGAAATTTAAATTATTTATAAAAAAATGTTTCATTATCATTTAAATTTTATAGGAAGAAAAAGGAGGACCAGAATACTTATTCAGACAAAGACCAAGCATGCCTTGTATTCAACATAATAACAACAGCCAAGTAAGTGTGTATATAACAGCAATGCAAACTATATCCACACTTTGGAGAGATTTATTGAAAATCCTCTGAAAACAATGTTATTGTTGCAATTAGACTATGAACAGCTCAGATAAAACTTTACTTTCTACTATGTTATATTATATTCCTTGCTTTATAAAGTGAATCTTATTCACCCACTGTGCTTTTGAAACTTCTAATCTATTTTAATCCTTATTATACCCCGGTAAACAAAGTTCCGTATGGTATAGTGTTTTTATACGACCGCAAACAATTTTTTGGGATCGTATAATGGTATGATGTCGTCGTCGTCTGCGTTGTCGTCCGAAGACACATTTGTTTCCTGACAATATCTTTAGTTTAAGTGAATGGATGAATTTTTTTAAGAAGGTTCAATACCACAAAAGGAAGGTTGGGATTGATTTTGGGGATGATGGTCCCAACCATTTAGGAAATAGGGGCCCAAAAGGGGCCAAAAACAAGCATTTTTCTAGTTTCAGGATATTAACTTGTGTATAAGTATTTTGATTGCTCTAAAATTGTACCACAATGTTTAATACCACAAGTAGAAGGTTGGGATTCATTTAAGGGGTTATGGGGCCAACAGTTTAGGAAAAAAGGGGCCAAAAACAACAATTTTTGTAGTTTCCGGACAATAACTTGTTTGTAAGTGTATGGATCTCTCTGACATTGTACCACAAGGTTCCATATCACAAAGGGAAGGCTGTGATTGAGTTTGGGGATAATTGCCCCAAACTTGTAGGAATTAGGGACCAAAGAAGGGCAAAAAACAAGCATTTTTCTAGTTTCCAGACAATAACTTGTTTTTAAGTGTATGGATCTCTCTGAAATTGTACTACAAGGTTTCATACTACAAAGGGAAGAATGGGATTGAGTCTTGGGGTAATTGCTCCAAGGGGGGTTTCCCAAAAAAAAATTTTTTTGGGGGGAGGGTGATTTTTTTTTTCCAATTCTTTTAAGGAATTCATATTTTTTTCAAAAATTTCAAATTTTAAATTTTTGAAAAGTTTAAAGAAGAAATCTTCAATTGCGCAGTATTGGGCAATAGATTTGTAAGATCTTTGACCACATTTATTTTGTGCCAGAAACCTTTATTATGTCAAAAGTTTGATCACAATCAAAATCCAGACAGTATCAAGCTTGAATATTGTATCCAAATTTGCCCCAACTGTTCAGGGTTGGACCACTGCGGTCGTATCAGGCTGCGCTCAGCAAAGCATTTTATTTACCTGTACATCCGTCTGTCCGTCAGTCCTGTCCTTGTCATCACAACTCCTCTGAAACCACACAACAGAATTTCATGAGATTTTGTCGATAATAATGACTTACTATGTAGATGTGCATATCATAAGGAAATTTTTTCTAGGAATTATGCCTCTTTGAACTTAAAATTCTGGCCTAAATATTCTACTGCAACAGTTTGTCATCGCAACTCCTCTGATTCACCACAACAGAAATTCATCAATCTTCGAAGTTAATTAGATCAAATGTAGATCTGCAAATCAACAGGATTCAATTCTTTTTCTAGGAGTTATGCCCCTTTGAACTTAACAGTTTTGTCATCACAACTCTTCTGAAACCATGCTTTAGAATTTCATGAAACTTTGTAGATAATGAGGACATCCTATGTACATATGTACATGTGACTGCTTATCAACAAGAAATTATGATTCGATTTTATTTCTAGTAATTAAGCCACTTTCAACTTAAAATTTTGGCTTAAATTTACTACTGCAACAGTTTTTATGGCAACTCCTCTGAAACCACACATTGTTAATGATAAGGACATACACTTGTAATATGTAGATGCATATCCAGAAGAAGTTTTTTAAATAAAGATGATTCCATGTACTCTAAAAGGTAAATGAAAATTACACAGTAGTATGACAATCAGACATGTTTTGCAAAATATTTTTTAGAACGATTATTCATGCTTTATAATTTATTTCAGGAATCATCACAGGACTTGCAAATGTCACAAACATCAAATTTGAGCGAGGAAAATATAGCTATTGATTTGAGCACATGTAACAATGTCTTTGCAACTCTAAGTAAGGAGGAAGTAAGTCCTTTGAACTATCAACTTCAAACTAACTTCAACTCAGTCACTTCGACAACACAAAGATATGTGGAACGTAAAGCTGATTAAATTAATCTGTACTGTACTAAACGCCATTGCACCAGGCCAATCTAAGGAATTATTTGTTCATATGATGAACAAACATAAAAACATATCAGAACATGCAAGTATTGAAGATAAATCTGTTGAATGTATGATAGATCCCTTAACTAAGCTGTATGAAGAAACTAACAACAACATTGTTAAAGAACAGCTTCTTTCAATCATGGCATCCTACACTACAAAAGACACTTTGATGACCAAAATTCCCGGACTTACAAAATACAGGGTAGATAAAGTTAGGAAATTGACTTTCCAGTCTATTTACGATCAAAATAAACAACCGCCATCAAAAAGATTCAGAATGGACCCTGTCAAACTGGAACACGCTTTATCCTTTTTCTTCACGTCTGTATTCCACCAAATTGTTTCCTATGGGACTAGAGACTTAAAATTAGAGTCTGGTGAATCATTGACAGTCCCTGATGTTGTCAGAACTGCTTGCCATGCAACAATGATTCAAATGTATGAAAGCTTTTGTGAAGAGGATTGTTTTACACCTTTATGTAGATCGTCGTTGTACAACATTTTGAATGCATGTGCTGCATCTAAAAGGAGAAATATACACGGGCTTGATAACATAACAGCAGATGGGCATAGTGCTATTGAATGCATAGAAGGTCTTGTTGCAGTTCTAGAAAAAGAAGGGGCAAAAACAACTGAAAAGAAGACATCATTGTTGCAGCAAGTAAAAAGTGGAAAAAAATTATTTAAAAGGAGACTTTAAATTGCATGTATCGAAGAGTTCTGAGTGTGCTGATCATTGCATTAGATATGGATTGAGTGACCCTAAAGATGTAGATTACAGATCTGACTGTCCCCACGAGCATACTGTTACATGTGATCGATGTGAAAATCTTGTCACATTATTTGAAGACATTTCTAAACTAGAATTTAAAAGTGCAGAAGATAATGCAGAGTTCAAAAATGCAGTAGAGAAAATTAACAGTTGGAAATCACATATAATGAGAACAGTAAACCAAGATTTGAGTAGAACAGAATTATTTGACATATTACAACCACACCAAGTTCTTATAGTAATGGACTGGGCCATGAAATTTTTGCCAAGCTTGCATCGAGAAAAACAGTCTGACTGGTTTGGTCAAAAGGGCATTTCATGGCATGTATCTGTTTGTATTTTTGCAGACAGTATCCAAAGAAATAATGAGCAAAATGCAACAAACTTAAAGGTATGTGAATAATTGAGGAAATATATTTTGTTTTAAGAATAAGATATGGATATCCAAGATCGTGTACCATTACCCAAAAATTGATATTGATCTGGTGACAATCTGATTATAAATGCTGTTTTATAATAATAGATTTCTGATCAACATAGTATTATGAGGCTTTTTCCATATCACTAACTATTAACACTCTACCGATATCATTCCTCAAGATAACGCTATCATGCATTTTATTAGGACAAAAAAAAATAATATGTGTGTTTCCTATTACACCTTTGAAAAAAAAATAGGGTAGGTAGGGATTTCATTTTATTTTACCTGCCATTTTTTTTTACATTGAGTCTACGGGAGGGACATTCTGACTTTAACAGTGGTTATTGAAAAATGACAAAATAAACTTTAGGGTACGCTATGTTTGAGCTAAAAAAAAGGGAGGATACGTAGGGTAATAGGAAACACACATACTTTTTTATCATGTTTATTTTGCCTTATGTCTCAGATTGATATGAAGAATCATTTAGATGTGATATGGTTAAATTACTT